ATTTCCATTCATTCCTTGTTGCACATTTTCCTCCCTACCCACCCCCAGTTCCCTCTTCTCTCTAAAAAGAGTCTTTCATTGCTGCACATTGTCCCTCCCCCTGTGTCTCAGTCCACTTTACTATGAGCCTCTTCTTCTGGACTATTATCATGCAAATAATACCTAATCATATAATTTTTTTAGACAGTTCTTTCCCTCATCTATTTCAATGTGGTGTTCATTATTTATCCTGTCTTTTCTTAGTTTCTCCTCAGCCCCCATATCAGTCCTGTTTTATAGCAGTGGTATTATCTCATCTCAGTAACAATAGTAAAGTTCAACAGAGCAGCAAACAATGAATGTAGGTGAGGCTGTGTAGAGAGTGGAAGTCTTATTCTCTGTTGATGGGAAAGGAAAATGGTACAACTACTATGGAAGGCAATATGACACTTTCTCAAAAAGTTGGAAATAGAAATGTCCTTTTCCTCAACAATTGCACTACTGGGAATATACCCTAAAGAAACCAGAACAGCCACCCAAACAGACATATGCACACCCATGTTTAATGTTGCCTAACACAGTAGCAATAGAGAAGCTGTGGTATATTCACACAATGGAATACTACACAGCACTGAAGAACAAGGAACTTACAAAATCCTATACAAAATGGGTGACCCTGGAGGACCTTATGCTGAGTGAAATATCTCAGTCACAAAAGAGCAAATACTGCATAATGCCACTGTGATTTTCTGAGCAATGCATTTGAGCTTTACAAATGTGTTCACTGGGATAAACTCATTCTTAGAATTTTGTTTTCACTCAATGCATTTTACTTTTTTTTTTTTTTTTTCATTTTACTTTTGATAGGGGTAAGTGTGTCAGTCAGTGAGACTGGCTCAGGATAGGGCAGGGTTCAGAGCTATTGTACATAGATAAGGTCGCTATGAGGTGACTCAATGACACATAACAACAACAAAATATAAATCTTGTTTGAACTAGATAATACAATTTAAATTCAATAGGTACAAAAGTCTATACGGTGAAAAGTTAATCATCTTCCTGTATCTGTTTCTTAGTCAACCAGGCTAGGTCATCACTTAGCAATGAAATGAAGTGGGGTGGCTGGCTGATTTACCCTGGGCCTGAGCATGATAGGCAGCAGAACCAGGACCAACATCAAGGGGACAGACCATAGCACAGGGAGAAGCAGCCTCCTGAAGCTTGGGCCTCAGCCAAGCTCACTGCACAGGCCCGCCTTCTGCTCTCCACAGTCATTGCTCCTTTTCAAGTTTTGAATGATGAGATCCATCTGACTCAGCAATATTATCACTGGTGCCATGACCCCTTCTAAATCCAGCTTGAACTTCTGATAGTTCCCTATCTATGTACTGTGCTGGCAGGTTTTTAAAATGATCTTGAGTAGTATTTTGCTTGTGTGTAATATTAATGACATTTTTCATAGTTGTTGTTGTTAAGTACTGTTGAGTCCAGTATGACTCTCAGCGACTCAAGAAAAACAGTTCTGAACCTTGTCCGATCCTGTGCCATCCTCACAATTACTAAGGTAGATGCCAGATGGTGATTTTTTCTAAACCCATCTCTACTTATTGATTCATTTTCTAATGAAAGGAATTTTCTTTTTTTTCATTTATTTCATTGTAAACTCATGAACTTTAGTTTTAATGAGTTACAATCCTTTACTATAGAATTTCTCAAATGCTCAGCTTTTTTGATTCTGTTAATAGAACTCTTTCCAGCTGGCTCTGCATTCCTTAGGCAAGGCCCCTTCAATCATTAAGCACTTCTTTAATTTCCATTCTCTCTTTCATCACCTTTGAGTTTGAAGAGATGCATATCTAATCTTCCAGTGGGTCTCTGGAGATTGTAAATCATACAGGAGGAGATTGCCCATTTCCCCCCACAGAGCAGCTGGTGACTTCAAACAAGAACCATTTTTGTTAGCAACTCTGTACAGATTACACCTTCATGCTAATATTAATAGGCAAATGCTTGAGGAATAATAGGTTCACTTACATACCCTCAAAGTATCTTACCACAAAACATGTATTAATAATAGCAAAACAGCAACTTGATAGTGGAGAAATAGATACCTTAACAAAATGATCAACAATTAGAGCTAATCAATATCAGATCTTCTAATATGAATTAGTTCATCGTCTTGGTGGTTGTCCTTCCCACGGAATTCACTGTATGTCAATAAGTAACATTATTTTCTACTTTACTAATGTAAGAAGAAACTCCAACCAGAAACGAGAGTTTTTGTTTTCTTGACATTGAGATATAATCCATAACGAAGGCTGAAGTGTTTAACCTTCTGCAGCAAGTGCTTCAACTCCTCTTCACTTTCAGCAAGCAAGTTGTGTCATCTGCATAACAAACATTACTGATAAATTTTCCTCCAATCCTGAGGCCACATTCTTCTTCATAAGAGCACAGCTTCTTGAATAATACTATCAGCATACACATTAACTAGGTTTGGAGAAAGGATACAGCCCTGACTTAAAGCTTGCCTAATTTTAAACCATGCAATGTTCCCTTCCTTTGTTCACACAATAGCCTTTTGGTCTAGGTTTCTCATGAACATAATTAAGTGTTCTGGAATTTCCGTTCTTCCACACAGTCAAATGCCTTTACATAGTCAATAAAGCACAAAGAGATATTCTGCTGGTATTTTTTGCTTTCAGCTAAGATCCAACTGACATCAGCAATGTTATCACTGGTGCCACGGCCCCTTCTAAATCCAGCTTGAACTTCTTACAGTTCCCTGTCTATGTACTGTTCTGGCAGGTTTTTTAAATGGTCTTCTGTAGTATTTTGCGTGTATGTGATATCAATGATATTTTCATAGTTGTTAAGTGCTGTTGAGTCCAGTATAACTCTCAGTGACCCAATGAACAACAGTTCTGAACCTTGTTTTATCCTGTGCCATCCTCACAATCTCTTACACACTAGAGCCCATTGCTGCAGTCACTGTGCTAATGCACCTGGTTGAGGGTTTTCCTCTCCTTCACCATCCTTCCAACATTTCAAGCACAATGTTCCTTTCCAGGTAATAACCTCTGCCAGCAACATGCCCAAAGAATGTGAGATGAAGCTTCATCATCTTGCTTCCAAGAGGCACTCTGGCTGCACTTCCCCAAGACCTGTTTATTCTTTTGCCATTCCATGGGATGTTCAGTACTGTCTTCCAACATCCCAGTTCAAAGGATTCAAGTCTCCTTCTGTCATCCTTATTCATTGTTCAGTTCTCAGATGCATAGCAAGTGACGGAAAAGACCATCTCTTCAATCAGGCGCAACTTAGTTCTCAAATTGACATCATTGCTTCTCAAAAATTTGGAAAGCTCCCTGACTATATAGACTTTCCCAGTGCAGTATGTCTCCTAAATGCTAGTATTATTACATGTACTGGTTGTGAATTCAAGATGAGGTCGTTGGCAGACCAAATAATGTTGTGACTCCTTACTATGCAAATATATATATATATATAAAGTGTTGAGTCGTAGGTGACTCATAGTGACCCTATGAATTAAAGACCTGGACACTTGTATAACTTTTGTCCTTTCTCCAGGTTCATAGGGTTCCCAGAGGCAAGCTACTTCAGAAGTAGATGCCACACCTGCTTCCAAATTATATATATTAAATATGTGTATATATTAAATACGTGGTGTGTCCACTTGCGTACAGAGGTAACTTGTGGTTGCTGTGAAGCTGAACACTGTGATACCGATGTGTCAAATGCGATAATGGTTACCCATGGTGGAGAGTGTTTGGTGGGGCTCCTCGGTTAAAACAAGCTTGGAAGCACGAGTGGCATCCACGTCCATAAATAGCTTGCCTCTTATGAACCTGGACAAAGGATTAAAGTCATGCAAGGGTCGAAGACTTTCTTTCATAGGGTCGCTATGAGTTGCCTACGACTCAACGGCACTTAACAACAACAAAAAATATATATATATATATATATATATTTGTGTGTGTGTATTTTTTTTTCCTTTCCGTAGTAGAGGGTCACAGACCTTTTGGTTTTTTTAGCATAGATGCTCAGAAACTACCCCAAGTACTACCTGACAGTAAAACTGCATCTTCAAAAGTACCCTCTGCAGTCGGACTCTGTATCTGGCCCCATTTGCTAGTGGGTTAGGCAGTGGCTTCATGGGCAGGCACTATTCGCTAAAGAATCTGAATTTAAAATCCTACTTCTGCCCATTCTCTTTCCTCTTACTAATCCCAGGTCAGGCTGGTGACATTTAGGGAATGCTGGTGGCATAGGGTAAGATACTGAGCTGTAAACCCAAAGGCAAGTGGTTTGAATCCATCACATGCTCCTTGGGCGAAGGCTGGGCAATCTCCTCCCACGCGATTTTCGCTGGAGGGACAGCTATGGTCATTTCCAAATGAAGGCAAACGACACAACCTCTGCCCATTCTCCGACTTGTCCCAGGTAGGGCTGTTTTGCTAAAAATGATTTCTCATTTAAGAAGTCACAGCTCATAATATGGAGTCCATATGGGATTTATGTAAAGTTCAACTATCGAGGTTGACTTCTTCTGAGAAATGGACACAATTCTTAAATTACTGAGATTTTAAACAAAAATTTCTATTTATTTCCTCTGCCTTTAAAATATATAAGCAATGTGAAGATACTTTGTAAACTGTGCAGAGTCGGGAGGAAAAAAAAAATTAAGAACATGTCTGTTTTCAGGATTAGAGGGTGCAAACTTCATTACTGAGCCGAGCAAGTGGAGTGGGCCCCTTCCGAGCTTTCCCAGAGCTGGTGGGTGGCCCAGGGCGCTTCTCCCTTGGCTCCGCCCCTGAGCACCGCCTGGAGCCGGGTCAGAGGCAGCGGGGCTCGGGTGCGGGGCCCCTTCAGGCCGTTGTCACGGCTCGCCGGGGGTGGAAGTCCCATCACGGGGCGGGGCAGCTCCGGGCACCCAGTTCCTGATTCTATAAGTGGGGGCTGGCCGCACCACAGCAGTGGAGGCCCAGCAGAGCGAAAAGATGAGCCTGCGGAGCGCAGCGAGCTCGTGCGGAGGCCGCAGCCTCGGAAGGCCGCTCCTCCGCGCCGTCTGCCTCCAGCTGCTGCTGCTGCTGCTGCTGCCGCCGCCGCTGCCATGCTCGGGCGCCGCTGTCAGCCAGCCGCCTCACCTCGTCTTCTTGCTGGCCGACGACCTGGGTTGGAACGACGTGGGCTTTCACGGCTCGAGCATCCGCACGCCGCACCTGGACGCGCTGGCGGCCAGCGGAGTGAGGCTGGACAACTACTATACGCAGCCGCTGTGCACGCCGTCGCGCAGCCAGCTGCTCACCGGCCGCTACCAGGTACGCAGCGCCCCCTCCGCTCTTTCCGCAGCCGGCGCCGGCTCCGCCCCGTCCGTGGCCTCTTCCTCCCGAGGGCGCCCCCACAGGCCAGTCGCGTCCAGTCCACAAGGCCTCTTGGAGGTGGCCTGGGAGGTGCCTCCGCACAGGTCCTGGCAAATGGGATCCGCCGAGGCAGCGTCTGGTCCTTTACCCCTCCCGGCCTGTAGCTCTGGGTGACTCTGTGCACGCCAGGCTCCAGGACTCTCCGCACGTGGGCTTCAGTCTCTGATTCAGAGTGGGGTCTGGCACAGTTTTTTTAACGTCTTCCATGAGTTCTTAGGCATGGTCAGTCCTGGACCCTGCCACTGAGTAGGCAAGAAGGGTCAGAAAGGACCCTGCAGGGCGGTGCTGAATGGATGGTGAAGATAGTGGAAGTGGGCCCCTGGCGCCCAGAAGAGGGGAGCTTTGGGGAAGTAAATAAAATTAGAGGAGTTAAGGAAAATATTTAAATGCCCTCAGTGGATGTGACCCTGACTTCCTGTGAATCAAGTAGTTGTAAATCTGACCAAAGTAGTTTTCCCAGGTCTCGGTGCACCTCAAATGAAATCTTGAGTTTCTGACATTTCTTTTACACATTTAACCTATTGAATTCCTCTATCTCTCGTTTAAAGTATCTTAAAATTTTATGAGGTTTACACACACACACACACACACACACACACACACACTCGAAAACCCCCACAAACTTGACTGCTGGTAACTACAAGTGTTACTTCCTAGACACCTCTGGGTGAGTTTGAAACACCAATCTCTCCATTAGTAGGTGAGTGTGAACTTTTTGCACCATACAGAAACCTGATTGATGGGAAGAGAGTGTATATATATTAGAAAGAATGGCTAGTGACAATGTCAAGAACATTTGCATAGTGCTTTACTGTTTTTAGAGTTGATTCTTTAAATAGCTACCTTGCCCTTTCTCTTTAATTTCCCATTTACAGACAAAAAAGTTTAAGACAAGGACAAATTTTGAATCATGCTCCTGGAAAGTACTAATAAGGTCTTGTGCCTTTCTGCATCCAAGGGTCTTCTCAGGTCTATCAAACTGAACTTTTGCCCCCTACATGTGAGCAAGATTTAAGTTTTATAAGATCCTGTTTTGAGATCTTTTAAAATTCTATATGTAAATAGAACAAATGGGTCACTTTTGAGAACATATGCATACTACATAAATATAGAGTTTATTCAAATTGTCTCTGACCTATTTACATCAATGAGAGAATATGGGAGAAGTATTCACCTGCAGGAAAGATTTACACAGTGGCCTGGAGACTTTTATAAAGAGAATAAAAAAAAAAAATCAACTCATTGATACTGAATTGGAACCGACTCATACATAGCTGACCCTATAGTGGATTTTCAGAGGTTCTAAACCTCGTGGAAGATTTCCCATCTTTTTTCCTACAGAGCAGCTAGTGGATTTGAACCACTTACCTTTTGTTGGTAACATATCTCCTTACCTACTAGTCCACCAGAGCTCCCATAAAGAAAAGAGATATTATTGATAAGAGACTGAGCAATAGAAGTAGTGGGGGTTTGAAATAGATGGACATAAAAGATGGTTCTCTTCACAGTCATCCCTAAATGCTTTCTGCAATTTTGACATTGGCTTCTGAGTCTAATCAAGAAATTTTGAATTAAGGCAAATTATCTTCCCTGTAAGAGTAAAAACGAATGAAAGTACAGAAGATAAGAAAGGACAGGAGGAAGACAAGTTTCTGCATTTGTTCTTAAGTAAGAAAACGGAATTCAAATTGCATATGAATAGGCTGTCCACTCTTCTGACTTCCTCTCTGTCCCTACCAGTGGAGCTGCTCTGTAAAGCAATTATCACTCTTTAAAAAAACTGATTTCCATAATGTCTGCAGATATCCATATTTAATATTAAGGGAAAAAACCTTGTGTATTTAGAATGCCTTGTGGTCAAGAGGTGAAGGAAGGGTTGAAGTGAGACACTGCAAGGTAAGGTTAGAGACAGAGAAATTCTAAAGCCCCACCCTAGTATTTTACATGATTTCCCCTCCACCCAAGGAAATTCTGGTGTCCTAATGGATAAGGAGTTGTGCTTTTAGCTCAAGGGCAAACAACTATAATACATGTAACATTTCCAGAGCAGTACTACATGGACCTGAGGGCAAAGAGACTGCAGCATTCTGAATTATTTATTCTTTTAGATGCAGATGCTTGCTAACAACGGGATTCCATGAATTCTAACAGAATAAAGTAGATTGGGAGAGGCAACAGCAAATAACAACAACAGTAACTCATTGCCATGGAGTTGGAACCAATTCACAGCTGATCCTCCAGGGGATTTTCAGAGGTTGTAAATCACACGGGAGGGCATTCCTCATCTTCCTCCAGTTGAGTAGCTTGTGGATTTGAACTGCCTGCCTTTGGGCTAGCAGCACAACTCCTTATCCATTAGGCCACCAGAATTTCCTTGGGTGGAGGGGAGATCAAGTAAAATATCAGGGTGGGGCCTTAGAGTTTCTTTGTCTCTAAACTCACCTTGCAGTGTCTCACTTCAACCCTTCCTTCACCTTTTGACCACAAGGCATTCTAAATACACAAGGTTTTCCCCCTTAACATTAAATATGGGTATCTGCAGACATTATAGAAACCAGTTTTTGAAAGTGTGATAATTGCTTTCCAGAGCAACTTCATTGACAGGGGCAGAGAGGAAGTCAGAAGAGTGGACAGCCTATTCATATACAATTTGAATTCCGTTTTCTTACCTAAGAACAAATGCAGAACCTTGTCTCCCTCCTGTCCTTTCTTATCTTCTTTACTTTCATTGCCTTCTAATTGAGCTCCACTTATAGTGACCCCATGAACAGAAGGCCTGAAAGCCCTCTACAACCATCGACATTTATAAAAGTTCATTGTGTTTCCTGAGGCATGTTATTTAGGAAGTGAGTGCTCATTCCAAGAGAGAAGACATTGGGGATTTCTTTCTTTTTTTTTAAAATATTTTAATTTCTTTTTCTTTTTTTTTT